TTGAAAAATTTCTTAATGTCATTATGAAAGAACTAGATTAACCCAAGTTAATTCACTTTATTGTTCAAAATAAAGAGGAATAAGCATTGAACTCACTTGCAAATTTGGGGCATGAATTAGGGGTGAGATGTTGTCTTTAAGGACTCTGCCAGTTTAATTAAGATATGGAAAATTACTTATTGTTCTTCACCACTAAAGTGCTAGGAATTAACAGCCAAATGTGATGCCTGTGCCTTTCATATCTCTACCATGTGTTTGTTTGTTTAATACCCATAAGACTACATCATTAAACCTCAAGCACTGATTTCACTAATTCAGCACTAGAGCTACATGCTACAGCAGCAAACACCTTTTCTAGTCAATCATAATTGAACAGCTGGATGTAAAATGCAATATTATTTTTAGGCTTGTATCTAACTTTGACTTGAAACCACAAACAGTATTTTCCTCCAAAACAAAATACCTTCCTATCTTTGTAATACATCCACTAAATATAGCAATAGCGCCAGGAGAGCGTGTGATATATTTTACCCACTTTATCAGTTCCTCATAATTAGAGATGCCACTGTGAATTGTTAACGTTATTTTACTTCTCTTTTTCTCTTGTAACGATGGAACATAACACAGTTTGTTTTTCTTTAGGAAGTATTACTTAAGAGAGCAGCAGACCTTGTTGAAGCCCTATATGGGATGCCCCATAACAACCAGGTAGGTCACTAGTGCAGTTTTCATACGCATGCGTACGTATGTAAATCAATACCTGTTATTTGCAAAGTTGGCAAAGTATCAGCACATTCTTTTTGTACACACTGTGGTTTTGCCAGCCACCTTGAGGGCAGTCTGATGTGATGCAATACTCTAAGGGAAACGCTTCATCTTCCCGTTCTCTTCTCACAGCTAGTTTGCCTATCAGAAATGACAATTAAGCGTAAGGTGCCAAAAGCATAAGCAGTCATTAAGGCAAGAGAATAACCTTGAACTCAGTCCAAAATATACAGTGACTAATGGGAAGTCCTAAATAAATCTGCAAAACAGAGCGGATAAAGCATACTGTATTTTCCAAACTGCTGGAAATAAATAGATCCACTGCATAGAATGAATAAAGTGTATGTTTACAATTTTCACATGAGTAACAGTATTAAACTGTATTTTTTGTGTTAATTTCTTTATTTCTTTATCCTTATATGCTGACATGAATTGTGTAGCACTTCACTATGCAGGAATGAAAACGGGGAGTTCGATTGAAACAAGCAGCAAAATCCCCATGTTTACTATAATTTCACATGAATTTCTTCCATAAATTTTAACTTTATTACAACTTTGAGTGTTTGCACAAATAAGTTTCTTAATTGTTAGTAATTATTTTATATCTAAATTATATCTTTATAGGAAATAATCCTGAAAAGAGCAGCTGACATTGCTGAAGCATTATACAGTGTGCCACGCAATCACAACCAGATTCCTACTCTAGCCAACACTCCTGCTCATACTGGCATGATGGGAGTGAACTCATTTAGCAGCCAGCTAGCAGTTAATGTTTCAGAAACATCACAAGCGAATGACCAAGGTATGTGGGATTTCAAGAGTTAATCTTTCATGTTGTTGACTGGTTTGGGACAGGGTCTATTAATATTAGCTGATGTCACCACTATATTCTACATCTCTTTTTCTCCCAGTAGTCATATGTCTGATCATGTAATGAAATGTCATCTTGAACTTTCTGATAGTATTCAATTCTTCCTATTTTTAGTTTACTGTTATCATAAAACATCTCCAGTGGAAAAAGAATGGCAAAATGTAGAAAGCTCTTTATTTTTCACAGTAAATATATCGTGTGTATGTTTAGTATCAAGTAAGCGTGTCTACATATCTCTACCTGTTTTTTGAAAATTTACACAGATGAATCTAATCTGATGTCTGTGATTTTTAAATATTTCATGTATAAGCATAAGCGTGACTTATATAGGTTACTAAGAAAAGTAATAGTTCGTTTCATTTACATTTTGTAATGTAAAATGCATATAGCATATTGCATTTAAAATTAATCTTGATACTAATGAAAGGAGTGAAACCAGATTATTAGGTATGTTCAAAACCGTATATTTTTGCTTATAACATAATTATTAAATTGATTGCTCAGAGAGAAATAAATTGTTGTTTAAAATCCTGATTCTGCTATGTTTCCTCTTATAGAAGATTATGTCTTCTAATGCATTTCCAAGCTAGTAAGCCTTATAAAATTCTGTATTTGGTCTTGAATTAGTTTTCACTGATGACTACACCTTATGAAAGTACTAGCTTATTGTCAGTATAAAAATATTAATCATAAAATGAAGACCCCGAAACAGCCTTTTTAAAGTTAAATCACTGCAACAAAAAAGTTGTTGTTGTCAGCTTTGGCATTTGAAGGTCTGGAGAGGCTGCAAGTTCATTCAGTATGTTGCTACAAACCAGGAATCAAGCCTGTTGATAATTGCTACTAAAGACAAATGTGAAGGAAACTGACACAGCTGGATCGAAGAGAGCTTTTGTCGGCTGTCTGTGCTGAGAGGAGAGACAACATAGAGTGCTCGCGGATGATTTAAGTAGGGTTGGCGTGATAAGGTTATCTGCAACTGCAAGAGTTGATAGGGCAGTAACAGACAACTTAGAGCAAAGCTGTGCAATCAATTAAAACTGTGTAATATATGATGCATGAGGAAACCCCCCAGCCCTAAGTTTATATTATAAAATAACATTATCTTTTTGGGGTGGGGGGGTTTCTAACACAGTAGGTTACAGTCGCAACACAAGCAGTGTTTCCCCGCGAGGATATGTTCCGAGCAGTACTCCTCAGCAGTCCAATTACAACACAGTCAGCAATAGCATGAATGGATATGGCAATGCCGGCATGCCCAATCTAGGTGTACCAGGTTCCCCTGGATTTCTTAATGGCTCCTCAGCTAACTCTCCTTATGGCAGTAAGTGTCTATTTTTGGTAACACATCATCATATAGATTCATATTTACTACAAAATCAAATACTTGCATTGTTTTGATTTTCTATATTGTGAGCTACTGGATAAAAGGAGGGGTGACTCTGGAGGCTGGACGTAAAAACGAATATAATAAATTGATCTGTTTGTGCCATAATACGATCTCAGATAGAAAAAAAATTGGACTGCACAATTTGTAACAAAAGTCCAACACAAAAGAGTTTGCCTGTTATCCAGAGAGTGGCCAAGCCAAGGCATTTCATTTTTTTTTTTATATATATATTTATATATATATTTTAAGAGGCAAGGCCCTATCACTCTCTTTTTCCATGTTTGCCGTGAAAACCTCAATCTGAGTCCTGATTATTTTTGCTTTATTGCAGTAGTGCCGTCAAGCCCTACCATGGCAGCCTCTTCGGTCACCCTCCCTTCAAACTGTAGCAGTACACACGGCATTTTCTCATTCTCACCTGCCAATGTCATCTCTGCAGTGAAACAAAAGAGCGCCTTTGCTCCTGTTGTCAGGCCCCAAGCCTCTCCTCCACCATCTTGCACCAGTGCAAATGGAAATGGACTTCAAGGTGAGCTGGATCTCTCTCATTTTTCTGTGTATTGCTTTTTGGTGCATACACTAAAGCTATGATGATATATTTTGGAGAAAGGTACCTTACTATATTTTTAGGTTTCTGGTGCTGTCAAAATGGTGTCATAGCAATGCAAAATACAGTAGCACAAATGATAGGCTAAAATCTTAAGCAAATCTGAGTTCACTTTTAATACTTGCATTAGAGAAAACACTAGGTTTTTTTCTGGCATTTTCCCTTAAGATTTCAAACATTAAATTTTAAAGTAAGCATGTATCCTGGAATGCTTCTTGGAGATTTTTGTGTACTCTTTGCATTTCTTTATGCATTTTTTGGATACATTTCTATGGACTTTTAAAATAGTACTATTCCAGCATAATGTGGTGCAATTTCTTCATTTTACATATGCTGTAGTAGTTATTTTAAAGTATGTCAAATTAGTATAAATCAGGCTAAGCTCTCCCTCAGTAAACTAACCTCCCTTGAGCGAGCTACTCACCTGTGCGCTGAGTTTGCATGCTCCGCTGGGCCTAACACAATCTCCTATTGTAGCACTAAACTAGTTACTTCCTTATGTGAATAACTAAATATTTTAATTAAGGCAGGCAATTCTAGGCTTCTGCTTTTTTTATCTATGTGGTTTTATATGGGCAGTGTAATGAACAATTTATAAACCATCTGCAGAGTTTACATGGTCACCCGCTGGTAGTGGGGCAGGCAGATTTGTGATACAGTGTAGCTTTTGTGGAAAAATATAAAAATATGCCAAAAGAAGTCTTACTTTTTATGGTATGTTTCAAAATTTGAATGATAATATTGTCAGATTCATTAGAATCATTCAACAGGTTTGCTTGCCTACATTTTACAAATCATGAGCCTAGTTCTACAGTGCAATAAATTGAAGCGCTTCAGACCTCATGGAAATCAGTAAGGGTTGCAGACACTGTTACCTTGGAGGTCGTGACTCACATTTTGTAGTTAAGATGTGGGTAAGGCAGCATTATTTATTCTTTGTATTGCTAAGAGATCCGTAACAGAATAGGCACTCGCAGATAAACAGATGAAGACTGATACTTTGATTTTTCAAGCCGCTTACTAATTCTGCATACCTACGTTTTGCGGTATGTAGCTTAAGGTACTTCAGAGAGACATAATCCTACGGAACTACCTGTCTGCCAAAAATCAAGACCATTCGAGACCAGTATCTCAAAATGGACATGCCTTTGTTTTTTTATTAACTTCTGAATGCCTTGGTCCAAAAAACATAGCATCTGAGAACTTATTATGCTTGCAGGTCAAGGAGGGGCTGAGGATCCAGCTACATAAATTTCATCATAGGATGGATGTTAAAAAAAAAAGAATAATTAGATTAACAATTTAGGTCATTGCATATCTGTTTTTAGTTGAAGCTTTACTGTGCTACAGTAAGTTAAATACTACACCGTGTATAAGCAATATTCTTAGAAAAGGTCATCCATTCATGAAATAATACAGTGTCCTTTTTTTATTAAAAAAACACCAGCTTAAGAATTAAATACTGAAATAAAGTGAAATAAAATGTGACGCACACAGCGTAGATCTGAAGCAGCTATTCTGTAGTGGGTATTTATATATATGTGCTCATTAACTTTTTGCTATTGCTTTACTGTGAAAAAATGAAGTTATTAGAAGATCTAAAGTAAGATGATCTGAATTTCTGTAATTGCAATATGTAAATAAAGAGCTTCCCATCAGATTTTCAAGATTTCAGGTGCTTAAAAGATCTAGATTAGTGCAAAATAGGATTTTCAGAAGAACCTGAGCAGGCTAAATGCCCAATTCCAGGCTAAATTCCCAGCAGATATCAGGTGGCTAACTTCCTTTGGCCCCTTCAAGAAAACCAGTAAACACACATCTTCATCCTCAAAATGCTTTTCATATAAATGCCTGGTAGACTACTTTGAATCAACCAACTCTGACTTTGTTAAACAGGTCAAGAAACTGGTTCTTAAATTGAGGCCCAGCACTGCTCTGGACTAAAATTTTTCTGGGCTTAGACAGTACAGTAAAGGCCTGACTATCCCTTTAAACCTGTCTGGATGATATTGTAATCCAGCCAGCGGACCTGGTGTCATCCATAATAAATTCCATCCTGCAGGCGTTGCTAAAAGTCTTAAGGATCTCTGTGTTCCATTCTGTGAGATCTTAACTGTTGCATTACAAAGCTGTCCCTACCTATACTGGGCGTTCGAAACTTCTAAAATCTGAAGGTATTTAGAGTTAGGGCTGTGCAGATACTTCGGTTTTTGGTTAAGAAGCCAAACTGAAAATGAATAGGAGTGTTGATCTGAAAAAAAAAATTTTCGTCACCCAACTGAAACAGCTGAACTGAATCATTTTGTGTTGAACGAAATGACCCAGGGAAAATAGCAAGAATGTCTTTCTAGTCTGATAATTAGAACACCAAGTCTCAGGTTGGTGACAAAAAGTTGAATAATTTATGCATAGTAGAACAGCACCAAAAGGGGGAATCGCACATTTCCTCACCCTGTAATACCATGTATCATGATAGTTAGGGTACTCTAATGGAAGGTAAAATATGTGGGTTTGAGTCCCCTTCGGCTGAAGAGAAAAATCAAATTGCATCTGATGTATCCTTGGTGAGTTCCCGTATCACCACAGTAGAGAGGCACCATCATTTTTTTCCAACCAAAGCTATTCAGTTAAATCAAACTGAACTCATGAAAGGTTTCAGCATGACAACATTTCACCCAGCTGTCCTTGCAGATCTAAACCAGTGCCTTGAGTTGAGTTGAATTGCAGCTAGAATTGGCTGGCAAGACAGGCATTTTCTGGAATGAATATGTCATATGCTTCCTTCATGAAACATCATAAAGTAAAGCCAGCAATGCAAGAGCCACTTATTTACTCTGCATTTTACCTGTATAATTATTTGGGAGATTTCTGCTTCCTTCTTCCTTTTTTCTTAGTCATTTGTTGTCACTGAGCCCATTTTAAAGTTTAATTAGTTTCTTTATGAACACTCTGCAAGCACCTTGAGAGTTTTCTGATCAGCACATTTTATACATTAAAATAAAATATGGAATTCAGGAGCTGCAATCCAATACAGTTAAAGTTTTGCAATGATCTTGAGGTACAGAGCCTATATTATAAAGCTAGAGGTGAAAGAACTGAGTAACAGCTAAGAAAATCTGCACCTTAGGAAAGGTCACAGCTATTTAGTCAAGTAAAGATAGAAGTAAAATCCTGTCGTCACTATTGCTCCTATGTACTTTGAGGAGGATGGGGGTAAACCCTGTTTTATGTATCTGAATAATGAAGGATGACATGTTCTTTTAATCAAAGGGAAGGATATCATCTCTGTCATTGCTTGTTCTGTTGCTTTCTCCCTGCATAAGCTCTGTTGTGAAATAAAACTCAGCTGGCTAGTTTTCGCCCAGTATCAGGAAAGTGGGTTGACCACACTATTGCAAGGCATCAGCATACCAAAACGACTGGACCAGGATGCCTCGTATTTTCCCTATGAAGCTTTGTTAGCACTGCGAACAGGCAGGGACAGATAAGAACTTGGCAAAACCCTACACGTAACAGTCCTTCAGACGAGGGTGACCTTTTCATAGGGGTTGCGGGGGGCGGTTAGCAGATAGAGCTGTTCTAGTTTGTGGTAACATTACACTAAGCAAGGCCTATTTGAGTATAGCACACTAGAAACAAGATCTTGCTACTAGTAGGCAGGCCCCCAAAACGCTATATTTTAGGACTTACTGCCACAGAGCCAACGTAGAGAGGTCTGCCCCAACAAGGGATTCACTTTTTCTGAAGAAATCCAAGACAGAGTTTAACAAGGAAGGAAAAAGAATAAAAATGAAGACAAACTAGTGAAATGTCAGGACACCCGTCATGCAGGCAATTCCAGCTGGAGCTAACATGTATTCTTCTTTCTTGCTACACTCATACTCCCTTCCTCTTTCTGTTGTGCATACATGGATCCTCTGCCAACTTACATCATAACTAGGGTCCAAACTTGGCAGAGTAACTCACAGAGTGAGATACCCCTCTCTTTGTTGTACTGCAAGTATGAATCACTCATATGACTAAGTCTACAAAGTAGGGTCTTTGGGCCTTATCCAAAAAAATGCAGTCTCGTTAACTTTGTATGACTACCATTAGATAGCCTGTGCTCAGATAGTTAAGTACTTGCATATTTTTTTAAAAGCAGGGCACTAGAGTTTGGGTTCATCAGGGCAGACAGCTTTTTTTCTGGTTAAAACAATGTACATATAAGGTATGGAGTACAATTTTTAGCGAGAAAGTTCGAGCTTACTGTACAGTTGGAAGTACAATATGTGTTTAAAATTCAGTTTTCAATTGTAATTTATTTTTATAGATGGTGAAAGATACTGCACTCTGGTCAAACTTTATGGTTGTAATGCAGAGCGAAAGGTTCTCTGTATTCTTTTAAAATTGCAGTCTGCTTAATTTTCCGGTCTCCCCCCAGATGAAACTATTAAAATTATTATTAAAAAACTAGCCACTCCATTTTTCTTTAAGAAGGCATTTGGTATCAATTTGCACAGAGAGAAATGTAGTGGTACGATTGTGCAGAAATACACAACTGTCAAATATTGCTACTAAAATAAGTACTGAAGTAAATGTATAGAGCACCAATTTTGCTTTTTCCCCTATTGTGCAACAGATGGAATTCAACAAAAATGGCTAAATGGATTAAATTAAGAAATTCAGATTTTTTTTCCAGAAAAGTATGCAGTGGACGACCTAAATTTTCACACATCATAAGTCAATCATGAGATTACAATAAACTTGTGATTAAGTACACTATATTACTACCATTAACCATGTGCTATGAACTAATAGATTTTTGCACACAACTCCTGGAAAAAAAATCTGGACTTTTTTTCTGCTAGATTATTCTTCGGAGAAACAAGTGAGCTAGTCTGTCCTGACCAGTCCTGCTCTTTCGTACTTTGCTTAGAGTGCTGGCAGAGCACGCTCCTGTCTGCTTGCCGCCAACCTCCGAGACATAGCCTTTGTGTCTCAGCATCATCTGGATACAGACCAAGATGACGGACCCTTACTGAATCTGAACTCAAAAGAGTAGGCGGGTACTGTATTTTGGGCTGACCTGTGGGGATGCTGATGCTGATCTCCAAAGTGATTGGTGATTGTATTGCAGCATAACAGCACCTCAGAATAAGTTTCTGACGTGATCTTGGCAGGGTGCCCTCCAGTCGTGGATTTTATAATCGTCCAAACTAGAGGACCTTTACGTGGACCTCACAGCCTCTTTCCTGCTCCTGAGCTATGTGTCCTCCAGGGAACGGTCCCTGCTTATGTCTCATGCTGGCAGGCAGTCTGGTTTCAGACTGGGTTCGGCCCCAGAGCTGTGCAAAATGCTCCTGCATCCCCCAGTTTGCATACACCCTCTATAACCAACGCTCTCACTCCTGTCTTCCCTGGGACTACATAATGAGCCACAAACGAGTGGTGCCAGCTTTTCAGCTGGCTGAAAACCTGCCAGACCAGGGGGATTTATGATCTCAAGATCTGCTTGTTACCCCAGAGCTGTTTGTCAGCAGAATGACATGAAAGGGACGCAGAGAGAATTCAACCTGTAAATACCTGGTTAAAAACCTGGTTAACCAGGTGTAAACCCATGACGAACTTCTCCTTTAACCGCAGCTGATATAATGCGGAGTGCAGCAGATTTAACGGAAACTTAGTATGGAAGCCAAATGATTTCATTAGAAAGGGTTCCTTTGCAACTTCTGCCAGTGCTGAAGTTTAAAATCTGCAGGAAAATTGCAACTTTTTAATTTTGACACATTTAATACTTCTGATTGGGGAAATAGGTAGCAGAATTTTAAACTGTAACCTGTTTTAAGAGTATCACTTGAGATCTATTTTAAAGTTAAATAGGCCCTTACCAGTCCTTTATGGACTATAGGTCCTTACAAGCTGATGTAGTTGCCTTTGATGTCTGCTGAATCACAATTGCTTGGGGCGCAGATCATGCCAGTTAGAACAATTCAGTCTTTTACGCTGCGTTGCTGGTGATTATGGGAGATTATATTACATAAGAACTGTGTACATACACAAGTCTTGCAAACCATAAAGTTGTAACAGTGACTCTGAAATAAATTAATATTGTGGAAATTAATGAACTGAGAAATTGAAGTTCACATCACTACATGAACAAATTTATTAATATCTGTTGTACATAAATTAATGAGAAATATCATTATGACAAAAATTAAACAACACTAAAATTAAAGACTGTCTAAATTATATTTCTACCAAGGAGTTAACTGGAAAAAGCAGTAGATTTTGGCATCTCAGTGTTTAAGTGTTAAAAAAAATGAGATAGCTAGTCAAGGATATTAATCTTAGGCCTTTTTATAGCACTTGGTCTACGGATTTCAAA